ATAGCCACATCACAGCAGTTTGGGGTTCATGATAGTCCCCAAGTGCCTTTTTATATCAATTATCCATTATAATCTAACCAAAGTTTCCAGTGTTTTTTTAATTTTTATTTTATTGGGGAACAGCCATGGTCATTGGCTGCACATTGCTTTCATGCTACAATGGCATAGCTGACTTTTTTAAGGAGGGCGCAGCTCACAGTGGCCCATGCGGGGATCGAACCAGCAACCTTGCTGTCATCAGCACCACGCTCTAACCAACTGAGCTAACTGGTCACCCCCTCCAGTGTGTTTTTTTTTAATTAACCTAATGTGAAACTACATGTCTCCCTATTAAATCTTATCTTGGTGGTTCCAGAGTCTCATTGTTTTAAGTCTTGATTCTGTTATCTCTGATATGAATAAGCCTTTCCAGCCTCATACAATTTAACTTGTACGTTTGATAACTAAGCTTTCTGTCTGAAGCCAGGCCTTCACCACAAGTGTGTAATGAGACAGAGCAGAACCACGTAGCACCCATTAGAGATCTTCCTATAGGTGACAGCATGCCATACATGGATGCTCTTTCAGGACAGTTGTTCAGCCAGCTACAGAGCCATTCAAGAGTTCGGTCCTCTGGGCCACGCTGGGCTTTGTGTTGTCCCCTTGTTGGGAGACAGCCTATCTCTCCCAGTAGCATCTGCTGTGTGTCTCGGTTCAACATGGTCTGTGATATAAAAAAGTAATAGCCAATGTGGGGGGAACGTGGGCTCGTGGACCGCCAGCATCAAATAAAGCCTCAGTGTGGAGCAGGACCTTTGTGGGAGCTGAGGATTGCTTTCTCCAAAGTCTGGTCCACATCTTCAATTTCCCCAGGGAGGACCGTGCTCCAGGGAGTGGGCTCTGTCTGGCGGAACTGATGCAATCAGGGCATTCGGGGACACCGGTCAAGATGCTCTCCAGCCAGGACACAGAGCAGTCAGTCGAGGGATGTTTCATGAGTGAAACATAGATGGTCTGTGGGCAGCCTGTGCAGTCTGGTGGTCGGTACTCATGATGCTAAGGAAAGTCTGCCTAGTCCTCTCATTGTCATCTTTATTGTAGCCCTGTGTATTTATTTAATGTATTCAGCAACTAATTTATTGACATCTGTGCCTGGCCCAGTATAAGGTAATGAGGATACAGAAATCAATGACAAGTCCCTGCTCTCAAGGCTCCCAGGTAGTAGGAGACACAGAATTGCAAACTGCTGCTCCTGGTAGAGTGTGGTAAGGGCTCTGAGGGAGGTGAGTGCCAGGTGTCATGGGAGCTCAGAGAAGGGGGGGGACAGAGAAGGGCCAGCAGGCTCTGCTGACCGTGCAGCTGGATAAACACTGGCAACTTCCTGCTCCCAGAATGTCCCTTTTTCTTGGGTTCCTTGTGGCCCCTGCCTTTCTGTTGTGACAGCATAGAAGCCTTTTCAGTACTGATTCCTGTTTTGAACTCTGCCTCCGGTAAACATTCCATGTGTGTCTCTCTCAGGACCTTTCTAGGTTAACTTGGGAAATTCCCTGGTCCTATGCACAGCACTGCGGCCTATTGCTTACGGTGGATTATTGCATTTTGCTCATTTAATTCATTTTCCTATTGCATTTCTCTACCTTCAAGGTCAAATGTGACCTTTCCTCTGATCTTATGGCTCAAAACTCCCCATGCACACCAGCACACATACTCCCATCTTGTATGTTCTGGAATAATCCCATTGTCCTCTTATGTAGTCCCAAACTGCTAGACCACAAATGCCAATCTTTGTTTTGAAGAACGTACGTAGACTTGGCCTAAGCAGTTGCAGTGGTGAGAAACCTCCGGGTGATGCACAGGGACCACTGAAAAGTTTAACAGAATGTACCCTTCTGGATTTATCTCATTGCTTCCATGTGGTGTTCCACTGTCCCCGTATTGCCTATAAACTGGAAGTTAGAGCCAAAGGCTTGGTTGGATTCAGGTTAAATCAATCTCTCTCTCTCACACACATAGCTCAGAGGTAATACTGTATACCTTATTCCAATACATTCCATCGAAATGCCCACAGTGTCTGTTAGTGGCACTCACGCTGACCAGTGGTGGGGACAGTGACAGCAGGTTTTTTGAAGCCACTGTCAGTGAGGACTCAGAAAACATTATGCAAATATACACTGAAATCCAGATTGGTCAGCAGAAAGAGAGAAAGAGTGTGTGTGTGAGAACCTGGGGAAACCAGTGGATATCTTTCTTTCCTTCTCTGTCCCCATGGCTGTCTTCCTTTTTTCCTTTCTCCCTCCCTTCTCCTTGCTCCGTTTCCTTGCTCTTCCCTTCCTCCCCATATACCCTGTACTCAATTTTCTTTCTCCCCTCTCCCCTCCCCATGCCAATCCCCACCTCCCCTTCACTCCTTCCCCGTGACCCTCTCCACCTTCTCCACTTTCCGCCTCCCTCCTCCAACCCCTCAGATGATTGACGGCGAGGCCTTCCTTTTGCTGACACAGGCGGACATTGTGAAGATCATGAGTGTCAAGCTGGGCCCAGCCTTGAAGATCTATAACGCCATTCTCATGTTCAAAAACGCCGACGACACCTTAAAGTGACTGGCTCAGGGCTGGGCCCCCCTCCAGCCCGAGCTGGGCCTCCCTTCTGCAGCTGATGCTTCCTTCTCGACCCGAGTTCCTCGTATCCCACCTGCACCCCCACCACCCTCCATATCTTACCAGGGATGGTTCCTCTTCTCACCGGGGCTGCTTCCTACATGGTACTTGGGAGCAGAGGAGCCCTGGGGAAGATGGAGTCCTAGCCCCCAAGTCCTGGAACTCATCTACCACCAGGCACAATAGTGAGGGTGTGGTTGGGCTAGAGGAGCATTACTGACGTAGTAGGTTGGGGGTGCTCTGCCTGCAGCAGTCCCACATCCTTAGCCAACTTGTTTCATCACCAAAGGGTCTTTTTCTTAGCAGTTAAGAACAACCTGGTAGAACAGGAATCCTCCAATCCGAGGCCCTTTTCTCTTTGGCATCTGTGCTTTTCTTTCCTTGTCCCCTTTTCTGCGACCGAGAAGTGACCCTGCCGCAAACATATTTACTCAGAAAGACACCTCCCCGCTTCTGTCTGCTGGTTTTGCTGCCCCGTTTCCTGGGCAGGGGCCCTCACCATGGCCCAGCCAGACCCCACTGGCTCTTCCCCTTAGGTCGGGGAGCCACAGAAACATGTTTTCATAGGATCCACTGGGAGTCTCAGGCTGCCTTTCTCCGTTTTACCCAGAAGTGAGGGATTCTGAGCCAAGATGCCTTCTTAAACATGCCCAGTTCTGGACCACTTGGCATTTTAGTGTCCCAAGCCAAGTCCTATTTCCAACAGAGTAGGTGGTTAGAGCATTTTACTCTGCAGCAGAGGCGAAGGTTCCAGGGATGTTTCCCTTACACCCCTACTGTGTCGGGTGTAGGGAGGAGGCAGCCTGGCTATGTAGGTAGCCGAGGCCAGCCCAAGAGTACATGAGACAATCTAGGGTCTTTGGCCAGAGGGGCAGCCCCAGCAGGCATGGCAGCTCCCCAAGCTGAGCATAGCATCTTTCTGTGCAGCCATGGGCCTCAGCCAAGGTGTTGCCCCAGGGGCGAGGCCCCCATGCCTGCTAGGACTCCTGCCATGGAAACGTAGCACTCTGTCTAGCACACACACCCTATAACATCACATTGGCCTGTCCCTTAAATGTCTTGCTCTTGAGGCATTTTACAAAGACCGCTTGAAATTGGGAGTTGGGAAGGTGAAGTCTATCTTTTGAACTGTTCCTGTCCCTTACGCCTTTCTTACTATTTTCCATCTGTCTTGCACTGCCAGCCGGGTGCCTGCTGGGACTTTGGCCTTTCTGTCCAAGTGGGGGCCTAGCCTCCATTGAGCCACTGCCAAACCTGCCTCCAGCCTGGGCACCGGCCCCATGTGGAGGTGAGGAGCATCTGCCAAGCTCCTGTGGCCCTAGGTGCTGAGATGGGCCTGCAGGGTGTGGAGACGGGGGGGCCTTCCCCAGACCCCTTCTGTCAGTCATGTGGTGTGTGTGCGCGTGTGTGTGTGTGTGTGTGTGTGTGTGTGTGTAGGACACTCTCAGAAGTGTTTGACAGGGTGCTGATGTGAGGCTCGGTGTTGGGAAAATGTCAAGGGCTATTATCGTTTAAATATGAAGCTTTATTTTTCCCACAGAAGAGGGAAACCCAAAGCTCTGTTGTTTTCCTGCCCCCTCCCAGTAGGGGGCGCTGTCACACTGGCCCAGCCTGGACTGCTTTGCCAGGGCAGCCACTCAGCCCCCCCAACCAAACTCTGGCAGGGCTTTAGATGTTCCTTCCCTTTCAGCCCTTAGAGGTGACTCTGAGCACAAGCTTCCTGGGAAGGAAGTGGGCAGGCCCTGCTTCGGGCTGAGAGTTGGGTTTACTGAGGTTTCATTGGCGCCCCCTTGCTCAAGAGTAAGGCAGAGCAAGTCTGAGCCTCTCCATCTTGGTTGCTTGGGTGGGGGCAAAACTCAGCAGCTCCTTGGCCTTGCTCCTCATCTGTGACACTGAAGAGAGACACTGGCCTTGTGGTGTGAGGAGAAGAGGCAAGTATGCACAGCTGCGCTGTGGAAACTCGCTGCTTCCAAGAGCTGGACTGGGATGGCTTTGCCATGTGGGTCTGCCAGCCACGCTCCTATGGCCTATGGGAAGGAGAACGGACCAAGGGCCTGGGAGGGAAGGGCCCCCAGGCCTCTGACTTTTGAGGCCTCAGCACTTTCTGCACCAATGTCAAACTGTTTGGAAAGAAACCAAATCATAAAAGGGGGAAAGAAATCTGTCTTCTGTTCACCCTACTACTCTTTCACCCCCATCCTGTCCCCGAATGAGATCATCGCACCTTGACCTGGAGCACAGTGAGGGGAGGGAGTGGGCGTGGGTGCCTGGTGCNGTCCTCCCGAGCAGCATGGGCGTGAGTGGGCTTCGGGGGCCAGGTTACTCCCTGGCATCGGCCTACCAGCCTCTGCCTCTGCTTTCCAGCACTAACGACCGACGTCATGCACCAGTCCCTCTTCATGTCAGCCCTGTCGGCCCACCCTGACCGTTCGCTGTCAGTGTGCTGGGAGCAGCACTGCAAGCTCCTGCCAGGAGTGGCGGGCATCTCAGCCTCCACAGTCGCCAAGTGGACCATTGATGAGGTGAGGATCCAGGGCCCGTTGCTCTGCCCTCACTTGGCCCTCTCACCACCCCCCGGTGGGAGAGCTCAGGAAATGCCCTCGTCAGGCAGAGCTGGGCGCTGCTGCCCCTGACACCTCCTGCTCATCCCTCCTCTGGTAGCTGCCCAGCAGGGACGGACTGACAGAATATTCGAGAAGCCCATCCTGGTGGATGGGGAGAGGGGTGTGCTGCTAGTCCAGCCGGAAATCCATTAGGAGAGGCAGGTCTGTCTCAGCCCTGGGCCTCAGGAGCAGGGGGCTTCATCCCTCACACGCAACAGCACAGGAACACAAGGATCTCCGTGATGAGAAAAAGCACCAAGAAGGCGCCAGGGCTGTGTAGGCCCACCTCTCTCTCTCCCATACTCCCAAGCCCGATCCCTGTGGCAACATGTCTTCTTTGGTTCCCAAGGTCTTCGGCTTTGTTCAGACCCTGACAGGCTGTGAGGACCAAGCACGACTCTTCAAAGATGAGGTAAGTAAGTCGCAAGTGCAAAGTGGGGACAGAAAAGGGTCACTCACCAAGATCGCAGGGGGCAGTTGCCCTCGCCAGCCCTGCCCCCAGCTAGGGAGGGCCCTCTGTTGTCCCACCCGGGTGAGACTAATCAAAAACCTGGCATGGACGGTGGCCCAGCTTGGGAACCTTCTGTGTGGAGACCATCTTCAAGAAGGAAAAAGCACCCAGAAGACCAGATTCCATGCACTCCTCTGCCCTCTGCCCAATCGTTTGTTTTCCAAACTTAGCTTTACCAGTGACAGTCAGTAAATTCGAGTCTATTTGGAGTGGCACAGGTGTTGCCATTTACTCCAAGGACCCTCACCTACACTCAAAATCAAGACCCGAAAGCCTCCCGAAGGTAAGAAACAGTGAGTTGTAGCTAAAAGAACGCTCGCTTTGCGGAGAGTTTGGGTTTGGATCCCGGTTCTGCCAGTTGGAGCTCTTGACTGCCTCTGATCCTGCATCTTCTTCTCTATAAAATGGAGGTAAAATGAGTGTAATGAAGGGTGTGATGAAGACTACCTCTCAGGGCCATTGCGAGCATTGGCAATGATCAACAGATCATTGTACCACTAGTCTATATTCTACTATTACAGACATTCTATATGATTCTATATTAATATCATATCTGTTATAGAGTAACATAGACATCATGTCCCTCTACCAGAAGGACTGACAGTCAGTGGCAGTGGTGACTTTCTTAAATGACCAACTCGATCATGACTCTTCTAATGTGTAGAATTTGAAACTGGAAGGGACCTTTGAGATCGTTTAGGTCTTACTTTCAAAGAGTACATTCCTCCCCCTTCACCCAGGAGAGTGTAGTCCTTGCCCCCCATAGGTGTCCCCTCCAGGTAGGTGCCCGTGAGGAAGAACCCTGCCCCCTTTCCCTGGAAGAATCCCTTTATCCGGGTCCAACATGGCCAGTCGCCCGTCACATCCTTGCGTGGCGGCGCTCCCTGTCTCCTCCCCGTTCTGGGTGTTTGCCTTGCGGGTTGTTGATCCTCTTCCCATTCATGTGTGTGTCCAGAGCTGGGCCCTGTGTTCTCAGATGCCCTCTCACCAACACACAACACCCCGGGCCGCTGCTCCCTTGCGTGGTTCCAGTTTTTGTTTCTAAAAAGACTTTATTATTTTAGAGCAGTTTTAGGTTCACAACACAATGGAGAGGAAGGTCCAGAGATTTCCCCTATGCCCCCTGCCCGCCTATAGGCACAGCTTACCCCATTGCCGATGTCACTCACCAGAGCGGGATCTTTGTTACAACTGACACCTAGATGTCTTTAGATGGAGATAAAATGTACATGGAGCAAGAGGCACCCATCTTAAAAGGCACCCATTCCACAAGTTTTGTGAAACGTATGTACCCTGAACCCAATACATCAGTCAAACTATAAAACATTTCCATCGTACCAGAACGTTCTTTCTTGGCTCCTTTTGTCAGTCCCCACCCTCATTAGGCAACTACGGTTGTGATTTTCTAGCACCACGGGTTAGTTTTGCCTGCTCTTGAACTTTATATAAATGGAATCATGCAGCATGTACTCTTTTCTTTTTATCCATCTCTTTTCACTCAATGTAATGTTTTTGAGGTCCATTCAGGTTATCGTGTATACCAGTAGTTTGTTCATTTTTATTGCTGAGTAGCACTCCATTTTTCTAAATATCCCGCAGTCAGTGGACATTTGGGCTGTCTTCTCTTCCCCGCAATTTGAACCCTGTATTTTTATTAGCAAAACTTAAGATTGCACTCGCTTTATTATAGCCACATCACAGCAGTTTGGGGTTCATGATAGTCCCCAAGTGCCTTTTATAT